ACTCTAGTTTACGTGCACGTGTGTCTCTGTGACGATAGAGGGGCTTAAAAATGACTCCGAGCATTTGAATTGCTGATCGTGCAGGCGATCCTTGCGAGATAATATCCGTATGGGGGTTCGGGTGGATGTAGCCCGTAATGCGCTTCACGAAGATAGTTTGACACGCCAAAAATGCAGATTTAAAAAAAAGGTCACCAAAAAAATTACAACCTGAATAAGAGGAAAAACAGTCTAAGCTTTAGCAGCCGTGGAGAAAAGAAATGAAGGTGAGCCCCGATGCCCGCACGGCCGAGGATAAAGCGCGTGGGTCGTAAACGACAGTCGGACTCTTGAGAGCCCGCGAGGGGGTCAAGTGCGTGACGAACGTCCAGGACGTATACCTCCGGCCCTCCTGTCACTCTCAAGCGCATGTGTGTGTGTGTGTGTGTGTGTGTGTGTGTGTCTGGCTACCGAAGGGAATGCACGTGGACATAATGAGTCGCAGCTTGGCAATTATGACGTATATCCAAGGCCGCAAGACATGCCGCGCGAGGCCTTTTCCGCGTAAAGGAGGCGCGAGGGGATGAGCGATGTTTATTGAGATTCTCTCTGCTGGCACGTGGCAGATTCGCGGGAAGCGCGTTTATTGCCAGCGTTCGGGCTTCAAAGTTTCGTGCTGTTGAGTGCGAATATAGAATACACACGTACTCGGAAGAGTAATTGCGCGGCGCGCCTTTTGCCGCGGCTCTATCGACTGGGTGGAGGAAACACGTGCGTTTTTTTTTTTCTCGAGGTGTCAGTCGTGGCATGCGTACTATGATTTGTCGCCGATCATTTTGAATGGGCAACGTATTACAGAATAGCACCGCAGGTATGTGAGTATTGATCTTTTCATGGAACGGTAAGCACGATCAGCGTCTCGAAAGGGGATGCGTGAGGTGCTCCAGTGGGTCAAAAGTTCAGGAAGCAGGAACGTCGTAGCTCATACCGTAGATTCCATCAAGCGCCTCTCCGTCGCTGTAACTGCGGGGCTGGTTTTATCGTCGCACGCGTCGCGAAATGCTGCACCTTGCGCTCGCAGCTTTACGGCGCTTTGGGGAGGAGTTACATTTTTACAACCATTGCAGCTGCAACAGCGGGGCCCTTCCTCCGAAGGTACATATTTTCGAAATGCGAAGGGTGACTCGGCTTACTTTGGTAGATTGCGCTCCGTTACTCGACGTTGACAAGAAATGGCGTGGCTGTTTTTTTGTTTTTTGCCTCGATTCCTTACCTAGCTCATAGTAATCTAAGCATACTATTTATCTCAATCGGTGCTTAAACTAGGAACTATAGTTTGGCAATAAACCAGCATCGTCCCCCTTGGCTGAGGGAAAAATCTCAAAGGGCATATCTCCCGAGAAACCCGCCTCCAAACGGGTCTGATGGAATTCCAGTGGCAGCGTCTTGTACCTACATCGTAAAATGATGCATTACGCGCGGCTCTGTGGTTAACGGTGCATCGGCCGGGATTTAAAAGGGATCGCGCCATTTACGAGTGGCATTAAAACCGCGCCCGAGCGTTTATTGCCTCGCGCGGTCGTCATTGCTAATTTTACGCTAATTTTCCCGAACGCGACGCAACTGCTCGCCGATAAAACGCACCGGGTGGTCCGCACGCCGAGTACCTCACGCTTTTAGATCCACATCAGGCCTAGCTCTTTGGGGAATCGGGTACAATGTCTCGGTGGAACTGCACTGCGGGACATCAAACTGTTGCAAACGGGGCACGCGTAGCTTTTCTAATTTTCGAATTAAAACAATTAAGCCAACAAACTCTGTACGTATACGTGAGGTATATGTATCGTAGAATGTTATTACCGTTCAACTAGAAATAAAATAAAAAAAAAAAGATCAACGTAACGATGCACCCATAAAGGGCTCTCCCCTTCCCTCCGTATAATACCCTTATCTCGCAATTTCAGCGTAATAACACGGAAATAAATTGCGCGCGTATACGGCGACGTCGCCGCGATCGTTTCAGAAAGAAAACAAGCAGCACGGGCCTCTCGATAATGATCACCCCCGGCAGCAGGTAGGCACGGGGGGGGGGGATCTCGGTAAGGCGTACTGCTCGCGAGTGCCAGCTGATATCGACGTCGTAGCCTCGGGGCGCTGATTTTCGTTGCGCGATGCCGAGGAAGGATCGAGATGAGATATCCTGGAGAGGAGGCGACGCGAGGACTATATACGCATTGTCCGGAACAATGACGCGCTCGTGAGCTCGTGAGTTGGGTGTACCGTACGTGTGTGTGTATACCGTTGGCTTGGTGTAATAACAATGTCCCGCGGGCACTGGTTGCGCTGCCGCGTTGGCCTCGTAATGAAAGTATGATTGATGGCGAGCAGGGAACGACCTGATCGTTATACCTCCGGCTTGTATTGCACGAGCTGCGAGCGTATTATCATCCGCATCGAGATGTGTGCGAGCAAAGGCGATGCAACTAAGGCGAGGAGAGTACGTTGAGGGGACGGACGATAATTTAATCGGCTCGGACAAATTGAAAATTTCTTCGTCCAATGGAATGGAGTTTGCGTAGGATTTTTTGTTTTTTTCTCGTTTTAATACTGTCCACTCGAGTGTCTTTGATTGGGACGAAGCTTTCACTTGTAAGTAGTTTTTTTTATTGATGGATGTCGGCTGGAAGTGTGCGAGCGGTGGGGTGAGAGGAAAAATGGACTCTCCATCGAGGCTGCGTCCATTTGAAAGCAGTGCCAAAAAGAGTACATCTCCGTGTTCATTAAAAATGACGTGAAGAAATGATGTATCCGTGTACACGTTTGATCCGTTGGGCTCGACCGTAGCATCAATTTTTCAAAGAAATCCAAAAACGGGAGATAAGGGAAGGGGCGCACAGCTCAGCCTGGCGAGTTTTGCGGCAAAAAGCTTGAGATGTCCGTTTGGAAGATAAAGCGCGGGTTAAGTGGTCGAAGCTTGCTTTGGCCTACCCCCTGGGGGACTCGAAGGGACAGCGAAGAGCACATTTATCATTTATGGCTTCCAGCGGACAACAAAATCTGCCCTCGGGGCGATATTTCGGTTATTAAGGTGTATATACCTCGAGCGCGAAAACTCTATATCGGTTCGAGTTGACGGCTCCGACCGGGGATGTATTTATATACGTTTCAGGGTTCGATCGAAAAAAAAAAAGAATAAAATAAAAAACAAAAAAGAGGAGCATAAATAACAAAGAGTGAAGAGATATTGACTGTCGTTTTGTTGGGTATCTTCTTTTGATGTCCAGAAAATTTTGTTGAATTGGTCGAAAAAAAAATTTCCATGATTCAAAAATTCCGATAATACAAAATACTTGTAGTTAGTGAATCGATGATCTATTTAAAAAAAGGGCAAAAGTGCTGGTAGAAGCCCATTGAAGGGGAACAACGAAGTAGCAAGACGAAGTGGCCGTGATGAGGATCGACTTTGAAACGATAATCTGCCGAACACGAGTTCGCACTTCCGACCGATTCTAGAGAGCGACGCAACTGTATAGAGTCTTTCCTTCCGATCCACGCAACTATTGCGGAGAAAGGAGTAGTACGGAGAAAGTACTTCCACTGCCATGTTAAGATTGCACTTTTCTTTCTTTTTCTTTTATCAGGAATTCATTTTGTTTCGCACACCCCCACCATCGGAGAAGTAAATAAGATAATGGCAAATAAGGTAAGGTCATAAAATTTTTTTTCTTCACAGCGCACACACGCATCATCGATTTCCCAAGTCTTCAAGAGCGTGATTCGAGCCAACAGAGCCTCGCGCCGTAAAAGAAAGAAATCCATCAGCAGCAGCAACGCAATTCCCTTTACGTGCTCACTGTATAGCCAGAAGAAAAAGAAGGGCAGGGCTCCGGCGCGTGTGTGCGTGCGTGTACTCTCTAAAACGTCCCTAAAGCCCAGTTTCGGCGAGCCAAACAACCCGTAACTCAGTGAGTGTTTACGAGATCGAAGGAGAGGAGGCTGTACGCGTAGGTGCACACAGGCTGCAGTGGCAGTCGTAAAAGTGTATACGCGAATCGTCCTGTACGTCTCGGCCGTTACTTCGAGGGTCCAGCCACGCGCGCGTCCCCCGAACTTCTTTTCTCCTCCCAGCTAACAGCCGTACGTTTTTCCGCTCGCTTTTTGGCTCGGGTGGTAGCTACGAGGAAATAAGAAGAAATCTCTGTTAAGGAGGCTACAGACAAAGAGACGAGTGAATTACAAAAGGGGGAGGCTGTTACGCTCGGGTTTGTTGGCGTGCGTGTGTCTGTTTGTCGCACAGCCGCGTCGTAAAACTCGACTCTCTGATCACCGCCGGCAATTATCCCACCGTTATCCAGCGCGTTACCCCCCAACTACCCTCACGTTTGCCCTTTTGCGTCTTTATTTGTTACTTGGTCGACGGTACGTGGCTAAGGAATCAGCTTCCGCCCTTTTTTACTGCAAACAAAGTGATTCTCGCATCGTAAAGAAGCCATTTTCGCGGATTACACGCGCATGGGACGACTTTGCATCGTTTTCCGGCTCGACGGAGACCTATACTGTACCCGTGAAATGGAATGGCGTTCTTGAAATGAGGGAAAATTGCTTAGTGAATTTAATGAGAAAAAAAAAAACTGCCTTTTAGTAGACATATCGGTTTTGTCTTAAAAGTAGACGGTTTGTCGTTCAACTTGAAGTTATATTGTTACCGCCCGTGCATCTAACAAGATTAACGGCGTCTGTTTTAGTTTCCGTCTCACCTTCCACGATCAATCAGAATTTGGGCCAATTGAAGAGAAAACAATGACTCGGTTGAAAAAGTTTCAACCGAACGAGCGATAATTTAAAAATCAGTAGTACGAATCGAGTTTAGTCAGACGTGACAGCTAAGACGAGAATGGCGGCATTTATTTAGCTAGCGCCGTCTGTCATGTTACAAGACTTTGTAAAAGATTGGCATAGAGATTGTGTGTCACTGTTTGTGTGTGTTGAACGTGATTCTGATGGCATAGGGGTCGACGAACCGGCTCGATTACTCTGGTCGATCATTGGCTGGACGATTCTGCGCCTCGCGTTAATGAACCTGAAACAAAAAAAATAGTTTGTGTGAACATTTTGTGCAAACAAAATCCTTTTCAACAATATTGATATATATTTTTTAAATTAGTGGTATATATATGTGTATGGAATTAGAGGTAATTAGAGAAATTGTCAACGGCTCCTCGTTAAAATCACGATAACGTCAGTTATCACAAAACTTGTGCTCCTGTTGAAAGAGCACAATGACCTTGGCGACTATAGCCCAAACAGCTACGAGTCAGCGAAGCTAATAACGGCTCTTAATAAAGAAACTTCCTCGGCGATACATCATTAGCCGTTCCAGCGACCAAGAAAGGAGGAAACGAACAATAGCTTCGCGGTTGTGTTTCGTCGTGGCTCGTCGACTTCCACCGAGAGCCGCGAGGAGGGATACAAGCGAAAAGAAAAAGCTCCCTCTTGGAAGGACAGCCACTGTATCGCTCGCTTCGAGGCAGGGGGTGAAGGGACGGGGTGGGTTGGCGGGTGGAAGGAAGGCCCCGCGCACGTCAGCCGACGTCAGCGTCGCGGCGCCCTAATGGGCGCAGACGCCGGAAGTGATTGGGTTTCCGCTCGACTGACTCGGAGCGCAGCAGCCCCGCCGTCCTCCACCTCTATCGCGCTCTTCGAGGAAAAGGACGAGATTGCCCGAGAGAGGCGGACGGATAGATAGAAGAGGCTTTCTCTTGTTTTGCGGCGCAGACTTCTTCGCCCGATTCCACGCCTGGACGGTTCTCCCGAGAGATGCTCTTTCGGCTCGCTGGCTCGCACTACCCCCTCTTGACTCCCTCCCCCCCCTCGTCCAACCGTCCCGGTTATGAATAATAATTATTGAATTCGCGTTTACACGGAGAACCGACGCCTTCTATTATCACGTTAATGCGGAACTCGCGAGAGCAGCAACAATGGGAGCGCGCCGCTGGAAAATTGATGGTGGCTGTTACCCGAATCCCCACGATTTTTTCACCCAGCCTTCTTCTTCCACGCTATTCATTTATGTCCAGTCTGCGCGGTGAATAAAAGAGCGTCCATGGATCAACATATCTCGTTCCAACCTCGACAGCTGGAAGGAGTACCGATTCTCGCAAGAGGAGTCGGTTGCTCTTTGAGCTTTACACTATACAGTAGGTGAAAAAGAGGCTAAAATAGCTACGGCAAGTGGTGGAGGCAAACGCGATTCTAGATCGAGCTCGGAGGCAAAGACGCGAAAAACAGACAGGGAAATAAGAGAGAGGCCGGCTCGGTTACGCGCCTCCCTCCCTGTATCGCGGCAACCTCTTCGGGTTCTCCCCCCATTGCAAACTGGCAGGAGTATAAGTATACACGGGGCGCGCGTGGGCGGCACGTCACAGCCAGCTGACTCTACTCACCCGTGCGCCGCTCGGCCGCCCCGGCCCTGAAATATCGCCCGGACAATGGCGCCAAGCGGCACGAGATTACGGGGAGTTTAGGTGTGTGGATCCGGAGGCAACTGCGGCGGAAATATCCTACGCTACGAGCGAAAAAACGTCTTGGACGGCCGAGCTTGGGGCGATAAAATTTTACAGTAGAAATAATTCAAGTTGGCTTGCTTTTTCCCACTCGGTCATTACGGGCACGGCGTTTTACGCTGGGGCCCTCTTTTTACCTGTATGTTGTATTTCATGGGCCCAAGTACGAAAAAGAAGCAGCTTGGATGATTTATGGCTCGCGCAGTGTATTTAATTTTTTTTTTGGAGGTTTTTTACTTGACACTTGTCCTGTATGGTTTTGTTTCGTGTGAAAACAATTCAACATAGTAGTATCGGTTTCATAAAGTTTAAAAAGATGCTTATAGGTGGGCAGCGTATGACTTTTCTACGTAAAAAAAGGCATAAAACTCGGCGTCACGGATAGATGGGGGGTAGAGGTGGTTTCCCCTCTGTTACAGCAAAGAAAGAATATTGGCCCCTGCACGCGACCTTCCCTCGGCCGTGACTAAATTTAGTGCACTCTACGCGCGCATACATGAATAATATCCCGGTCCCCGGATGAGCGAGCGTTTTTACGGGTGTGCATACATTTACACGCGGCGGAGATGGACTGTTTGGACCCGTCGATTACCCTAATACTTTCATATTCAGCCTTGATTGCAATCGATTTCTAAAATGTACGTAGGTACTCTGTAATTATAACGACGCCAATGCCTGTTTATCAAGCGAGCTCGTGGTCACGGTAAATTTCTGCAATTCGATCATCACCTGGAATCGATGGCCGGCACGCGTCCATAAACCATCTCAGCGCCTACAAGGGCATTCAAACAGCCACATCAAATAGCCATGTCCAAAATTTATTTCCCACAAACAACTCGAGGGTATATGCATGCTGGTGGGGAAATTTCGTGAAACACCCAACTCCTGAAAGTAAGCTCTCACGCGCGCACAAAGAGGAGAGTCACGGAGAGCGACAATTTGCAATTATCGAGAAACGCATCCATTAGTTGACCGCGACATCGGAAAGTGCGTCCTTCACACCCCAGCATCAAAACATCATTACCGCGCGTACATGGAGGTTCGGTGGCGCGGAGTGTAGGCTTGCAACGCGACCGAGGGAAAGGGTGAGGTCATAGGTGTATATATACATATACACACGACTGGAGTACTATTAGTAATCAATTTTGCTCGGAGCCACCGCTGCTTTTCGAACGAGGTCGCTAATGCTCGCCGAGAGGAGAGAACCTCGACTGGGGTGTATACAACGGAGCGAAGAAACTTGGCAGTCCGTGGCCGCGTAATGCCTTTTCTAATTTCGTTTTGCGCTTTTGCAACCGGAGCGACTATCGCAAACATTTATTTTCCCTCGCCGTACCACCTCCGCTCGTATATCATTCGGGAAGCTGTTGCTGCAGCCTCCCATCTCTACACCCCCGCCACTATGCCTTTATCCTCGTGCTCTTGGAGAATTTCGGTAATGTGCACTACAAAGTTTTTAAAAGAGCTTTAGCAACGGAGCTCTACTTTAATGTTAATTTCATGAGGATTGCCATTCATTTTTATTTCTCATTCACGATTTTGCGAAAAAAGCACACATGCGTTACAGTACATTTTCATTGCTGGTGTTGCTCATAGCAGAGACGTGCTCTGGAAAGTATGGACGTGTGGATGGCTTGCACTGGGCTGCACGTATTGACGCATCCGAGAAGTGTCACCGATAGGTCGCCTATTGGGATAACTTGTGCAACTTCATACTGAAAGCACATGTCACGCGCTTCGAGAACTTTGATCTAACTTGGACGATTGATCGGCTTTATTTCTTGTTGGGCGTTTGAAACACGTCAAACAAATTGTTTACAGAGTTATCGAGTTGCCCGATTTTCCAATAAAAACCAAGTCCAATCCCGAGAAACGCTAATACAACAGCTCCAAGCAGCCCCATTCTGCACTGAAGCTATTTGCTACCCCCCCCCCCACAACTTCTCCATCCTCTACCGCCAATTTTTCCATTCCTTTCATAAATTTCCCCCGTTTCCTATGGCTGGATTTCTCTCTCGTTCGCGTTCCGTGCATTTTACCCGGAAAAGCCAAGCGACGAGTTTTCCCGGCCAAGCGTACCACCAGCTCCACCGTCGCCGGCTCGGCTAGGAACGCGCGCCAACTCGGTGACTCTGCGTTTAATCTATGGCTGGGGGAACGCTTTTTCGGAAAATTCGCCCTGGAATTTATATAATTGTTTTGTCCCGACTCGACGGTAAATTTTCAACGGGTCTGCCACCGCCGACGCCCCGCCTCCTCGGCGCGATAACGCTGCCGAGGATCGCCCGAGCGAACGAGTGCCGATGCTGATAGGCGCACTTGGTCGACTCCGAGGACTGAAATCTGAGAATCGATATTGCCTTTCTTTCCTACTACGTGTTTTCCAGCTCCTTTGCACCCAAGTACACGAGGTCGGATTGTTTTCCTTCCATTGCAACGCACGAGCTGATATCTTTTTCCCCGTTTGGTCAATCGGATGGTGGAAGTTTTCTTTTTCATTCGCTCGAGATAAGCCCTGTAAGGAGTCTCGAGTGAATACCAATCGATGGACTCCCATTTCGGAGCAGATTGTCAGCCTGACTCGACAGTCGCAACTTTGCTTTCGAACGTCATCGGAAAAACAAAGAAATTAAATAAACCTCTCGTGCGTCGACGGACATACATCCGGTGGGGGGATGAAAAAGCAGCCGTGAAAATTAAGAAAATATAGCCGATTGAGAGCCGAGCGAGGGTGGCAACAACAGTAACCACTCGGGCACCCCTAATCACAATTAACGTTGACTGTGCGAAACGCGCGTGCACGCACGTATACCAAGTATAATATACAAGCTGCAGAATAGTTCGTTTTCGTCAGACAGCAGCAGCCGCCACAGCCACCACCACCGTGTATATATAGGTACGTGGACGGGGTCGCTGGTTAATCAGTGCAATTAGGGTAACACGTGCATAACCAGGCAACGAAGCACATGTCACGTGATGAATGGCCGGCCCGGCGAAATTGTGATCGGTGGACGCGCGCAGCGTAGGTAGTAGTGGCCGCTCCTCCCTTCCCTGCCCAATATATACTTCATACGTCGCATCTGCGCGTATCGACCCTCTCCCCCCTCCCCCCCGACTGATGCTGTCCTCATCTGACCCACCCCCTCGTCCACGCTAACCCCCTTTGCCTGGGCCGATCGTATAAACGCAATCCGTGAAGTCATAACATCGCTCCCATCGCCCGGGAGTGAGATGAGCGAGCGAGGGCCTACCGGATGGGTTTATTGTAACGGTGAATTATTGAGATGAAGCCGATTCCCCGAGAAATACGCTTTCGATGAAATCTTTCTTATTATGCCGCCGTTACTGGGACACGGGTTGTTACGTGTGCGGGCTCGGGATGTTGAAAGCAACAATGTTCACCTCGCCTATCCAATGACGCGCATCGCTTATGATTTTCTTTATTCATTTAAACCGAGAAACAAGTCATAAGCTTTCCTTCGCTGATTTTCATCACATTTCCGCATCATCCATCATG